GTGCGCAATTTACACTACCAGCGCACTTCGGTAAGATCAAACAAAGCCAAACGGAGTTAGTTTTTCTCTTTCTATTGCTCTTGTTTTTCTTTCTTTCTCTTATTTTGTCTTTTCTCGTACTTGTTTTACTTTGCATTTTGTGAAATACAAAGAAAAACACCTAAAACGTAAGCGAATTTGCAAGTTTTTGAGTTATTTTTATTTTTCGTGCTCAGGCTGACGTAAGTAACCGGAAGTGAAATTTAACCTCCTCAGCAAAGCGCGCGAGCGCGCGCATAAATTGGTTAATGGGCCCTTAAGGTAATAATCAAACACAAAACAGAGTGCGCAAGCTCAAGTCACTCTCAGGTATTATTGAAATCACAAGTTATATAATTTACCCTTGAGTATAGAAAAGCAGCTTGTACAACTCTCGAGTATTGAAGTTCAAGCTGACGTTGTGAGATATCGCCTTCTTCTGATGTTCCACTATGTCCTGCCTGCAAGTACAAAATCATTAATTATTACTTAAGTGGCAATAGACCTGGCCGACGATGATGAAGCCACAATAGACAAAAGAGACCATTCCGAGTTGCCTTATGCCTCTGTGTCAAAACAAGTTTTTGTGTGAAACCTTCTTATTTGTGTGGCATAGATGTTGCATTAATTCTCTTGGCCACAGTATTTTCTGTGGCATGGTATAAAATTGCTTCTTTGTGGTATAGCAGAGAATATCCCACTTGTCACTTATGTGAATATACCAAAAAGAAGTTTGTATAACTAGCTAATGAAGTGTTAGTTCCCCCCCTTTTCCTATAGCAATAAGAGCAGGTAAAAATAAAAGACAATGTGTCTGGTGATCACTTTTCAGATTCTGATGGTTGAATGCAATAATCCTGGCCACAAACTTTGAAATCCTGTCATTGTTCTACAAAAACAGCACTCCTCCACCCTCTCAGAACAATGTTAGCTGTCAGAAGGCAAAAGTAACATCAACAAAGTTCACATGGTGTGGGGGAAAGACCTACCTAAGGCCATTTCTATGAGTGGAAATTATTGATTATTAGCAATGTCTACAAAAAAAGGTGTCAGAAAACGGAAGTGTTCCAACCCCTTTTGGTCAGGATTGTAGATCATGCACCCTTCTAAAGTAAAATTTGTCCTTACCTCATTTGGCACAGGTGGCTTTGCAGTCACATGATCTGGCAGTAGACCAGCTTGAGATGAACCTTCACAAATGTCGCAGAGAAATGTAACATGAATGAGTAACAAATGAAAGAATAACTAAAGCTATCTGATCTCTTTCTGCCCTAAATTCAAAGGCTTAAGTCTCCCTGGTGGTGCCCGTTTATTCACTATAAAGTTACACGTAGTTATAAGAATCTGGTTACTAGTGCATTTATCACTTGTGACAACATCCCTTAGGTGTTGCTTGCATGCAATTATTGCTGTTATAACCTGCATCACGAGTTACACACTGCTAAGAACCTATCAGCAAATTTTTTTATTGTTTTCATGGAAATATGAAGGTGGGTTGCAAACTTCAAAGAATGTTGAATTGAAAAGGTTATCAAGAACATAAGAACACAAGTACCTGTCGTCTTAACTATTGTTTTCTTGGACACACCAGTCTGTGTTTTTCGCTTTTCTCGAGACGTCTTCTTAATGGCAGCAGTACCTCCACTTCCAACATGTGGCCTTGTATATGTTGCTATGCCCTGGGATAATATAGGGGTAGGGGCTCCCATGTGAACAGGAGGCTCAACGCCAACCATACCATCAGCTGGAGTTGATGTGACAATGCCTGTTTGTTGTGATGTGTTCCGGATAAAAGGTGTGTAATCTTCTAGGTTCAGTGTGCTGTTGTTAGAATGTGTAACAAATGACTGATCTTTTGATCTTGGTGTAGGTGTAGCTGAAGCTTTTACTTTCTTTTTTGATGGAAGTGGTACATCCTGCAAATAACAGAAGTTAGTACACTGTAACTGGACTATGGTGAAAAACTTATTGAAAGGGGTAATAACAAAGCAAAAATGAACAAGGACTGTTTTGACTGGGACTGATTACAAATGACCAAATTGAAAAATTAAGGTTAATGGTTTCTTATTATGAGCACACAACTTCTCAATGAATTATGTAGGCAGTCTAGCATGCATCAGGTGGTATTAATTAGTAACATGATTTTCTGTACTCTATTTACAATCTGAATGACAAGGATCCCGCTGTGATTAAACACTACAGCCATGATTGTTAACTTTATATATGAAATAAAAATGAGGCAGTGACAAAGGCTGCCCAGTTTCTGTTGCCAGATTAATTTCTAAGCCTTAGATTAATCTTCGAATTTTGAAAGTTCTCATTGATGATAATGATGATAATAAAATTGTATGGTATATAGATAAAAAAAACTGCTTTTAAGTTACCTTTACTGTCACCTTTTTAGTGGTCTTCGGCTTATTATCCATGTATCTGGAAGGAACAATGCGAGCTGCAAGAAACCAATTGAACAACTTTGTAAGAAGACAGAATGTCAGTTATAATGGCACAGCAAGACAAACTAAAAACACAATACATGTATAACTAAGTCTCTCTTTAAATACCCCCTACTTAAAATGTATAAAGATATTGCAATCATTTATAGAAAAGAAAATGTTAACTTTATCATTTCTGGAGGTTAGATTACAGGGTGAAGCCTTAGGGCTTAATTGTTGTTGGAAACCTTTTTTCATATCAAAAAATAATAATAAATAAAAAATAATAATAAAAGTTTAAGCCCTGATAGGGAAAACAGTTAACTTTCAGTAAGCTATGAATTAATTCCAAACGGTTAAGACAATTCAGAATCAGTGAATGGAAGAAAGTTAATTTAATTAATATAAGAAAACTTTGGAATAATCTTTTTGTGGCTATAGTCAATATCTAGGATTTGCAAATGATGAATGTGACATGACTTACCAGTTTTTTGTTTCTTCTTTTTTAGCTTTGAGTTCTGTTTTTCTTCACTCATGGTGGATAAACTGAAATAAAAATTGTCAATATTACAGAAGTCATCCTTTGACTAATCATTTAAAATTTGGATAGCTAATGTTAATAACAAGTGTTAACACTATTTAGACCCCAACTCAACACTGCTCAGTTCAGTGCAGAAAGAAACTTACATGGACTGTTCACCATGAGCTGCTTGTGAATGGGAATCTGAAACAAAATAAATATAAAAAAACAATCTTTACTAACAATAACATGATATTAGTCACTCCTTCAGTCAACTGCTTGTAATCTTGAAAATAAGTGTTTCTGAATGGCCACAACGTCTCTGGGGTCAAAGTAAGGTAGCGTGAAGGAAGTGAACTTGGGAAACACATTGAAAGTTTGACAGTTCTTCAAAAAGTTGACATCCAGTTGGGCTTTACGTGCTTTGGTAGAGAGTCTCTCTTACTGGTGGAAATCACTTAAATTAAGCTTTCCATTGTACTTAGCTGCTTGGTCGAAGATAACATTGCCAAATTTTCGTAGCAGTGACATTGAAATCAAACATTTAAAAAAGACGACACACCGTTAAATGTTTGATTTCAATCTTACTGCTACAAAAATTTGGCAATATTATCTTCGACCTAGCAGCTAAGTACGATGGAAAGCTTAATTTAAGTGATTTCCGCCAGTTAAAGAAGTTCTCTACCAAAGCACGTAAAGCCTAACTGGATGTCAACTTTTCGAAGAACTGTCAAACTTTCAATGTCTTTCCCAGGTTCATTTCTTCCATGCTACCTAATGTCAACCCCAGAAATCTTGAAAATGTAGTGTTTTGAGTAGAGCAGGTTCACAAGGTTTGTCTATTTAGGAACAGATCTGTATAGTAGAAACACCAATTAGAGTTTTGTAGTTTATACAAGTCATGTATATGTATATTGTAACATGGAATAAAGGAAGAATACATGTACTTTGTTCAAAAATCATACTCTAATTTTCTTTTGAGAACAAAAGACTCATTCCAATTGCAATTGGTAGACATTAAATGTGGGTAATCTGGGATGTTTTCAGCAAATTACTAAGCAAATTCTTTTACCTAAAGAGAAGTCAAAAAGTTGTTGCTTTATTTGTGGCGTTGACACATTAGATGATAGTGGCGGACCAGGAAGACCCTCCTCTCCCAAAAAGCTTTTAAACTCAGCTCCAGGTCTGCTTGTCTGTTGAGGTTGCATTCTGGCTTCATCAGCCAGACTCCCATGGTCCAATATGTTTTCTACATGTGGTTGTTCCCTGAAATGAGAGTCTAGGAAAAAATAGTATTCATAGTCAATTAAATAAATAATGTAGATGTTGACAAGCATATTTCCATGAACATGTAGAAACAATAATAAATTGTTTTCCTGTTTTTCCTGACATTTCATAATGATATTTGATGCTTTAAACTTTAAAACTTTTTTAGACATTGTACTGTTACAGAAAAATTCATTTATGTACACTACCCTCCCTAGCCTCCCACACAGACACTCTTTGAGCTTGTTATATACAACCTTTCCTTGTGTGACAAGCCCAAACAGTATCTCCTTAGCAGTCTATGTACACCTTCCCACCACAGGTTTTTTAGTGAAATTCTCTAACCCTTGCCCTTGTAGAAATTCCAGTTAGCTTCACATTTCCTTTCAAATTGAGGCTTTTGAGCTTATGTGTCTCTTCAGAATTTCAAATTGGTGACCTCCCATAGGGTACAGTGAGTATGGATATTTTCTAGAACCACACAAAATTAAAATGAAACAGCTCAGAACCTGAATTAAATAGGGATGGTGACAAATCTTTCTTTCTTGCACTTGAGTCTAACAGATTAACACTTGGTACACCGGCCACTTTGACTCTTCTTCCTGCTTCTAAATGACCTGTCACATCAGAGATATTGTCCGATCTCTGAACAACAACTGGATTTTCTAAACCACTTCTTTCTCTTCCCACGCTTCGAGGTGAATGGCACACAACTCTTACTGGAGAGTTAACAATGCCTGTAACAACTGGGACTTCAGCAAGGTCAGGGCTCTTATGATGCCCTGTGGCATCCACCATAAGAACTGGTGATGTTTGTTCAGATTCTCTCTCTTCCATGTACATTGAGTCAGGGACAAACCTGCAAGAATATGACAAGACAGAAGTACGACTGGTGTTCAAACCAAGTATACATTATGTAGACTAACTGGGTTTGAGTAGCAGTAGTTCAGCCCACTCAAATAGCCCTAAAAGTTATGAGTAGTCCCATCATATCTTATTTTAAGGGGGAGTCCCTGGGTCCCTGTGGCAAGTAATGCTTGTTTCATTGTCATCGTCATTGTCATCTTCACCATCACCATCACCATTCGGAGTGAATATTCACAGTGTTTACACTCCAGACTTTATTCAAAAGAATTTTTGAAATCTAGTTAGAGGATGGTCTATATCCTGGGAAGTATGTATTATTCACATTTTGTTTTCCATTCCTAGCTCTGTATAAAGTTTAGTGGCGAGAAAAGCCTAGACTTTGCAATCTATTCATCTCGCATCTGATTGGTTTTCCCTCAGCATCAATAATTTTAGTTTAACTAGTTTCTGATTCGCACTGTAAAATATAAACTGTGAAGAATTTCTTTAACCAATCAGCAATAATTTACACTAAAGATTTAACAAATTATAAATATTTTTAGGAATTCTAATTTAACTTGTAATCATATTTTAGAATTTTACACGTTTTTGTAATTATTAGGTTTATTAGGTTTATTACTTTTTATTTTGTAACTCTTAATTAACCGCAGGTCCACATCAGCTTATGCTGCCTATATACCGACCTGCGTAAACAAATAAATGATGTATGTATGTATGTATGTATGTATGTATGTATGTATGTATGTATGTATGTATGTATGTATGTATGTATGTAAGATTTGTGAGAAAGTTCTGGTGGAGATCAAAGCCCAATAAGCTCATTTTCTTGATTTATTTCAGTCATCAAATTTGATAGAGAAAATCTCTTGCCTCATTTTACAGCAAACGCAAACAAGCAATCGCAACAAAGCACCACGAGAGATTAACGTGAGCTATAAAAACACGTAAGCTTACTTACGTCGTAGTAGGGCTGGCACTTGCAAACCCTACGCTGGGCTCGGCAACAAGAACTCCCTGAGCAAGCGATTTCCTGAGGACACAATGCATATCAGCGTGTCAGATCGAACAGTTTGGAAACAAAAGACGAAACAAGAACTTCCATAGAGGCACACAATACCTGATTTGTGGTGGTGGCGTTTGTGAAGGCGCAGGATTGTACAAAAATCGTTTTGAACTCGCCATCTTGGATCAAAACTCGCGCTCATTAGTGCCCAGTCTCGCGCCTCATTTACATCTGAATATAGGTGATTGGAGGGGAGGGGAGGATAAGGGCGCGCTAAGTCCGGTTGGGTGCAGCACCGTATTGTTCTGGACCGGGTTTTTCAAAGACACAGGATTCACGAGAATTTTGATTTCAGTTTTGTAACTCTTTGGTGAGGTTTTCTGTTTACATTGTTTGTCCTTTAGTTTTGAGCTTGAGAAATCTTGAAATACCCAACATAAAAAGTGAAAAACATTTAATACAGCACCCCGGTTGCCTATTAATCCTGGGCAGCCTTTGAACAACTTGGCCCTGGTGTACAGATACATATAGCATTTTATAAAATACTTTGAGGCATACAAGTACCTTGTGGATGGAAGAGGAGCTGGTGTGGAAAACAGTAACAAGGAGATTTGATATGAGGGTAGGGGAATGGGTATTCTGTGATATTTAATGTGGGGTAGTTTATTTAGTGGAAGGCGTGGTGACCTCATGGTTAGTGTGCTCAGCTCCAGAGTGAGCGGTCCAGGTTCAAGTCCTGGCTAAGGTGTTGTGCTCTTGGGCAAGAGCAAAGGCAAGACACTTTACACTTAACACTTTCTTTAGCAAGACACTTTATTCTCACAGTGCCTCTTTCCACCCAGGTGTATGAATGGGTACTGGCAAATTTAATGCTGGGGGGAGTGGAAATACGCCTAGTCGCTTCATGCTGCTAAAACTGGGATAAGCTCCGGCCTGAGGGCCACTTGGCTTGTGTGAAGCCATAACTTTTAATTTGTTAAGTTTGAAAAAGGGTATGATTTGTAGGTGAGGGAGTGACGTTCATATGTACAGAACAGGCTGTCCTATGTTAATCTTCCTCATTCGCTATATGCAGTGGTTATTTATTATAAATATGAGGTGGTTATCTGTATATAATTACAAAAGCACTTCAAAAATTAAGGCTGCTTTTGTCATTATATAAAATTACTATTTATCGGTCTTCCCGACAATAAAACAGAGAAAATGAAAATGAAAATCAAATGCTATCATTATATTACAAGAACTGTTAACTTTTAACAGACCTGTTTGCCAGTGACAAGTTCAACACAATGACGCCAACATGTAAGGGCATTTATTATGTTAGTGCAGCTATGCCTCATGAACGCACTCTGTTTTGAATGTGGTTATTGTTCTGGATTGGGTTTTTCAAAGTCCAATTAACCTGACTCAGGAATAGTGAGAATTTTGCTTTCAGTTTTGTAACTCTTCGGTGAGGTTTTCTGTTTACATTGTTTGTCCTTTAGCTTGGAGTTTGAGAAATCTCGAAATACAGATGTAAAAAATGAAAACATTTTTAAACAAGAAAAATTAATACAGTACTCCACTTGCCTGTTAATCCTGGGTTAGCATTAACAGGCTTTTGAACAACTTGGCCCTGGTATACAGATACATGTAGAAAAAGATCAGTTTCAGTATTTGAAAACGGTAAAACTGAAGATTTGTCAGGGAAGAAAAAGCCAGCTCATTGTTTTGTGTCAAGTTGTGACTAATCCATGTTGTGGTTTGGCAGTTACCTTTGCGGTTTCATCTCGCATCTGATTGATGGCGAAACAAAAATCATTTCAGGAATGTTTTCTTGTGTTCATGGTTTTACAGGAAAGACTGTAAAGCCAGTTGGCTAAAGAAAATACTTATTTATGACTATAAATCTATGCAACAGATACAGGCAAACTAGGCTTTTAGGATGAAGCATGTCCAGGCATCCTACAGATGTAAAATATACACTGTAAATGTACATCGAGTTCACTTTTTCATGACCTGAATGACATCTTCATCATTCATAACATGATTGATTCCCACTCGCTGTGGGCTGTATTTAGTACTGGTGCCCCAAACTAAGGCATACTTGAACACATCTGTTAGTGTTCTGTGAATAGCATGGCATACATGTTCCACTGTGGCACCACGTCGAAGGATCAGCCCTCCATTGAAGTCTGGTGGATCACCTCTCTTCTTGGTGTAGATTCTTAGCAGAGCAAGATGTTCCCATATCTGCACCATCAAATAGTCCAAGTTCAACTCCATCTCACAGCTGACAACAACAGAGTGAGGAAGCCGTGCCAAGCGATCAACCTCCTCTATGGAAATACAATCAATCTTGTTGTAGACATACACACATGGCAGGTAGATTCTGTTGCCGCAGATCACATCAATCAGCTGATCAGCAGTGCAGTCTTCTCGTATGAGCACCTCAGCATTGAAGATCTTGTACTCATGAAGTATCATCATTACAAGCTTTTCATCCAGATGAGTGAGAGAACATGTGGAGTTAAATGCAACACCGCCTCCTTTCTTTAGCTTGAAGTAAATATTTGGCTTGGAACAATTCAAACGGATACCACAGTCCTCCAGCTCTTTTTCCAACAGCACTTTCTGGATTTCACCCTTGGCAGCATCCAACATCATCACAACCATATCAGCAGTGCGGGCCACAGCAATGACTTGCTTCCCTCTTCCCTTCCCCTGAGAGGCCCCTTCTATTATTCCAGGCAAGTCAAGCAGTTGAATGTTTGCTCCATTGTACTCAATCACACCAGGGATACACGTCAACGTTGTAAACTCGTACGAAGCGCTAACACTGGTCGTGGATGTCAACTTATTTAACAATGTCGATTTCCCCACGGAGGGAAAACCAATCAATGCCACTCTAGCATCGCCAGATTTCATAACATCGAAGCCCTCGCCTTTTCCAGCGCCGGCTGATTTCGGCGGCTCTAAAAGTTGCGACCGATATTTCGCTAACTTTGCTTTAAGTAATCCCAAGTGATATTCCGTCGCCTTGTTTTTCTGAGTTCTTGCGATCTCTTTCTCTATCTCGCTGATTTTCTCTAGTATCCCCATCTTTTGGCCCACTACCGTTTCCCTACGTTGCGTTTCAACAAAATGGCGGTTTTCTAAGACTGTGATCAATGTCAGCAGCTAGTCAGCAGCTACTCACGAATTGTATGCGCAAATCTCTTACAGCAGTCTATAGGAAAGCGCGCGAACCCAGAACCTACCTGTCAGTTTCTGGCGGGGTGCCTTGCCTTTAATTTTGTAGGTTTGTTGGGTTCATATCTACATTTATATACCTTTACTGCCATTATCTGCAATAATTGTAGCTTAGTCGACATGGGTGAGGATGGTGCAGGTTCCGATGATTACGACCCACATGCAGATCCTAAAGCAGATCCCCGTGAGAGACGACGAATTCGATACGAATATCGTGAACTGATCGCCGAAACTCAAAGTAAGCTCAAAAGCAATGCAACTGCAATTTACCTAATTTTCCCTTCCTGTTACAGCGATATATTTTATGCTTACTATTTAATAACGTACCTGAGATAAGTTTCAGTGAGTCAATAACCTCTAAAGGATGATGCACTTCAAGAGAATGAGCTGTTGTATAGCTTATCCACATTATCCTTTTATCATTTTCCGATATTTTTAATTCTCAACAGAAAATAGACATGATTTTATCAAGCCTGAGTCGACCGGATTACACCAGGCTCTGGACAAAGCTGACACTTTATTTAAAGGAGGTAAGAGGGATTTGGATTTACGAGGTTGACATCCAGAAAGACAAAAAACGAAATCGAAATGCCTCTCAACCACATGAGAGCTGCTGCAGCTAAATAGCACAGCAGATTCTTAGCCAGATGAGCATTCAGGCATCCTGTGGATGGCCACTTTCTACAGGGTTCGTACAGGTCCTGGAAAACCTGGAAAGTCCTGGAATTTTATTGTGGCATTTCCAGGACTTTCCAGTGCTGGAAAAGGGCTACTGGTACTGGAAAGTTATGGAAATCTGTTAAACTCAAGTAAAAAAATATGAAATTTATGGCAGACGGTAAGGAGAATTAACATTAAGATCTTGGGAGTGAAAGGGTTAATGTGAATTTTAGAGTCCTTGAAAAATCAATCCGAGTCCTGGAAAAGTCCTGGAAATTTGTTTCTGAAAAAGGGTACGAACCCTCTTTCTAGAGAAATATTTTAAATTACTTGGCTGAGCTGACCCAATAGCTAATTTTGGATACCTCCTTTTCAAATCCTGGCTAAAAACCCGCTGTAAAGTCTACCATGAAGCCTGATGTAGCCTCTGGTTAGTTTGGTAGCTGCCTGAAAATTTCAAGTTGCAAAGGGCAGAATTATTGGCATTTAAAGTGATTAGGTGCCATCTCCCTTCAAGCGGTTCATCTTTTTCCAGTTATTATTTACACTGTCTAATGCTATTTCATACAGCTCTTCACCTATTTAAATGCCTGGAATTGGCTAAGCATTGTGGTTTTTAGAGCCAGCAGAACTGCAGGATTTTGTTCTTATCTAAGAACACAACAAAAATTTTCTATTTTTTCCAAAGGCAAAAGTTTTATTTATCATTTAATTATTTGAGAATTATTAAATGTCTTTAGCAGGAGATTATAATTATTTTTGTTTTCATTTTTCTCCCTCAGTGAGGTTAACAAGAGAGGCTGTTCTTGACTCTCATTTCCTGGTGCTTGCTTCAAATCTTGGAAGTCAACAGGCTCAGCAATTACAAACTCACTTGGTTACATTTGATCCTGATACCTTTGTCCAGAAGCTGGTAAGTGAACAGGTCCAATTAGTGTGTTTACTGAGTATTATAAATATCATATGTTATTAAATTATCATCAATAACTTTCATACTAAAGATCGTAGTAATCATGCCGCATAGTTCTAGTGTGTGGCTATAAGTTTGTCAGCTCTGTCAAAATATATATGGATACCTTGCTGGGGAACCAGAAATCAACCTACTGCTTCTCATACCTTTCCAGGGGCAGATCTAGGGGGAGGGTGCAGGAGTGTGTACCCCCCGCCCCCCACCCAAGAGGAAGCCTTCTTCTTGATATTCACTTTTAAAATTTGTTTCCCTCACCAGTCAGTTAAGTCATTCCTTAGTGGTGCTCCCCCTTCTAAGAAAAATCCTGGATCCACCCCTGTTTTCTTTTCTGCTTCCCATAAATCTTATGCCATGAACTCAGTTGTAAAAGAGGTAATGCAAATGCAGAGTGTGTGTTGATTGATTGACTACAGCCTGCTGTCTCCTGGAGTTTAGAAGTTTAGCAGTAAAAACCTGAATAAATGAAAGATAATTTTGCCTTTTTCTCCCACTTCCTACCATTTCCTGTTCTGGCTCCTGTAGCCTCCCCTTAGTCATTCCTTTCCTACCAGAATCCTGTCCCAACCCCCCTTAGAGGGGCTGTATTACATTCTACAGTATTCCACATCAAACACTTAACAGGTTGCTTTGATGGGGCCAAAATACCCGGTATTACAAATTTTGTAATAGTTTGCATTTTATTTACATTTAATTCAAATGACCACCACCTTTTCTGCAAAGTTCCTACCTGCCTGTATCCCCTTCACCCTAGCCTGTCTCAACTCCCATCCGCCACCTCTAGGAACCATGGTGTTTCTATTTAGTATTTGTTGACATTTTTTTTACCGGTTACCAGATCACTTTTATGGGAGGCAGAAATATTGCAGATGCAAGTAGAGAAGATGACGAAGATGAGGACATGCCCAGTAGAAGTCGACATCCACCTCCCTGCCTTGATTGGAAGAAGCTTGGACAAAAAGCAAGTGTGGCTTTCAGGAGAACACCAAATGTTGATTTTATGTATGTTTATCCTTGTGTTGTATCATTTGATCCAAACAAGCCCAATACCTGTATTTCACTGCCATGACTTTTGTGAGGTCTTCCTATCAAACCATGCATATGGGCACTAGTGTACAGGATATACACAAGTAAGCTCCAATTACAGGGCAGGAAAAAACATTCTGAAGTCCATTTGACCTAGTACATTTCAGTTTTCAGTTGCCTGCACTAGAATAATACTTGGCCAATAGGCATGCAATGTTCATGCCTTATCAACTACATGATTGCCGTAAATCCTTGAATTAACACCCCCCTTTGAATAAGTGCCCCTCCTATCGGCCAAAATTTAAAATAAATGCCAACCCCGAATATGCGCTCCCTTCCCTCCCCCCATTTTGGTGACAAGTAATGAGACAACAAAGAATGTATAGTTTTTGTTGTGTAGTATTAGATTTGTGCATTGTTTCAGTTTGTGAACACATTAAGTTCGGTTAAACTCATCACAAATAGATGAGCTTGGGAACTGGTGCCTTAAAGGTTAGCGGGGTGCCAAAGCCATAAGCCGCTAGGAGGTATCCATAGCAACCCTGGAAAGCAGGAACCACCCAATGAGCGTCCGCTAACCAGCACCGTCACACTGAAAGAAATTCAGTGGAATCTACTTACCTGGAGAATACTTANCTGCTCTGGCGTGCGGTTTGTTTTTGTGGGCTGGTGTCGTTTGGCACTTGAAAGGACGGTAGTTCGTCGTCTACAGACTGGCCAAGAAGATCGTCTTCAAGAATGCTTGAGGTGTCCATGTTTTCCTCTTCAATGGCTTTAGAATTGCCAGGGACTGCTATTAGCCCTTCTGACGTTAGTAGGTTTTCTGACATGGTATTATCAGGTATTGGTCAGGCAAGACCGCGGTTTCGATCCTATCATGTGGATCTCTTCAGTTGCCGATTATTTGGAAGGACTGATAGAGATGAGTTCTCGTTATCAATCCGAAGAGGGGGTGTTCCCCATCCTACTTATACTCATGTGGAGGATCGAAAATTCTGTGTTGTCATTGGCTATTTAAAGTACTAGCCACATAAAAAAATTATTACAAGTACTAACGGTGCCGCAATTTAAACTTTAGGATCAGCTTTTTATGTCAATAAACAGCTTATGTTGCTGTTTACGCACAGATGATGTGTTAAAAAAATGATCATGTCAGGCCGCAATTTGGGAAAAATTAGATAAGTGGCCCCCCTCGATTAAGCACCCCCTTGAATAAGCACCCCTTGTCTTCTATTAAATTTGAAATAAGCAGGATTTATGGTAACTAGGTTTTGTCTGTAATCAGTGATAGACTATAACAAGACTGCTGACAGCAGCTAATTTTAATTTCCTGCTGGACCACCAAACTTGTTTTCACTTGCCCAAGGGCAAAATTTTACTTGCCCCGGGCAATCAAACCTGTTTTTTTTCCTGCCCTGAATCATAGATAAACCACACTCCAGGAGACAAGACTGGTACTTGCCACATGGGGAAACTGCCCTAAGAAATGTTCTAATCCTAAAGGATTGGTACTTAATTGGGGTAGTGCCACATGTACAATGTAAATTAAATTTCTATGATTATCTTTATTATTCCCCAATAACTACAAAGATGGACATGCTTAAACTAGGGTAAAAAAAACAATGGAGACAAAGTTTGATAAACAAATGAACACGGTTTTAAAACAGGAGGCACTGTCTATGGTGTCTGAGTTCAACAAATTGTAAAGTTAATTGTTAAGATCTTTATGACTGTCTGGTCAGGCAGAACTGAGGTTTTAAGCCATTTACATATCTCTCATTTTATCTTGTCTTAGGCTTGGTCCCTTATCTATGGAACCTCCCCGTCGTCCAACAAGAGATACGCAGAAAAAAACATCACAACCTAAGCCCACCCAATTAGTCAAACCAACACAGGTGAGAATCAGATATATAAAGTTGTGCAATCCATTCTACTAACAATTACAAATTTAGTGTAATTTGTAATTTTAATTGTTCTTAACAAATGTAATTTGTTAAGAACAGTAGCAGTCACATATCCAAAATAGCTTTTTTTGTGAATAGTCCATTAACATGTAGATGTGGCCGGCCTTAAGGCGACACTCAACTGACCCTCGACCCACTGTTGGCCGATATATCCGTTGTGTATCGGTTGACACTCTGATATCGACCGAGTGTTGGTCAAATTATATTGTTCAACAGTGTTGACCAACAATACCTACAGTAAACATGATCAGCCACTGCCTACACTGTAACTGGCCATGTCAAGTCATTCTGCCATGTTGTTAATATCCTGTTTTTCTGTCATTAGTTGGAGAAAGTGGAAGCCAGGGAGGAAGCTACAACTAAAGAAGTTGATAGATTACATCAAGTCCTTTATGATAACACAGGTGTGAGAGAATTTTTTTGTGAGTTCTGTTGCTATTATTTAAATAATTGAGCCTATTTTTTGTATAATAATTTTCTGGCAGAATTCTCTCTTGCTATTTGGATAAGAGCTGAGACAGTGGGATTGATAAGGCAGTTTTCAACTACTGATTCCAACTCAGTTTAAACAGGTTTGACCAATACTGTTGCCCCAAGTCCTGAAGTTATTATCAGCAATCCATGAATACTTGACAATGGGATCAAAAATTTGTTGATGTAAGCTGTAACACAGGAAAAACATTTGAAATTTTAAAAAGTTGACTTGTCCTTGAATAGTCTTGGAAAAAAACAAGGATTGACATCTTAATGAATCGTATTAACTGGGAATTTATTAACATCACTTCTGATCACTGGTCTCTGATTTTCCTAGGGCTAAACACTTACCAGAGTAGAGTAGTATGTTGCAGTTGACTGAATGATGAAAATGTTTTATTACACTTTCCTTTCTGTTGTTTCTTTTGGTTTTAGTCACAGATGATGATGACTTAAATCCAGTGTGTCTGTTCAAGTTTATCATCAATCCTGATTCATTTGGCCAGACTATCGAGAATCTTTTCCATTTATCCTTCTTAGTTAGGGTAAGTTGTAGGAATGATATTCTTGATTTGAAGTAAAATGTACAGGGGTCATACAGCTGATTGAAGTTTTGGAATACACTCAGTTTCCCTTCCTTCCAGAGTCCTTGAATTGAGTTCTCGAAAATTCTCTTGTTCTCCCTGCTACTGGAAAATTCTGAAATTTAAATGTTACATTTGATAAAAGCAAATGACAATGCTGTCATAGTCTTTCCACATACTCTTGGTACAGTTTTAGTCAGGTGCTTAAAAGTATAATCATGGTTTTAAATATTTGCTCCATGAACTTTTCAAGTAATAGCGGAGCTCCTGCGTGCCAGGGGAGCTCCAAACACCCTCACGGTCTTGATTTCCTTTGTTTAAACTTGATGAATTATTAATGAGTTTGAGAAATGTTGGGATCCAATCCTATAATTTTGTATGTACAGTTGTAGGATTCACAAATTCATAAACTAAACCTGAAGCTATTTGTTTTATATAAAACAAAATTAATCATTGCTGAAGAGAGCCTCTTTGTAATAGTGGAGCCTGACAGATGTCAGTGTTAGGGCAACCAGACAAAATCTTTGGGAAAAGGGATGTACAATGTAACCTATCATTGACAGTCATCCCATGCAAGGAGAGTAACAGTGCTCCTTGTCATTCTATCTTACAGAATATGGAGTAGAGTTTATCATCACTCTAAATTACTAGTTTTAATCACACTTCCAATTTACCTGTAGGATGGTCGTGCTGATATAAGTCTTGAAGATGAACTACCAGTTGTGTGTAAGTACAACTGTACATGTATTTCTGGGAGGCTACAACTCTTGGAATCAGCAGTGAAAAATGAATCACATTTGGCAGTTCTTTTACCTCTCTGGGACATCATTTTGACACAGTGATTAGAACCATGGTTAGGGTTACCCTAACCCTAAGTCTGAAAAAATATACATGTTTCTTGACTTGAACTTGACTCATCACTCAAACTTGATTCAGGCTACAATTAGACCCGACCATGGAATGAGAGTGATTTTATTGCAAAAAGGAAAATGTCGTGTTGAACATAAAGAGAAAGGCATTTATTCTGAGTGACTCATGATGCATATCATACCTTAACACATGCTGGAATTGGTATCAAGTAGTGTATTTTCCGACAGTATATAAAAACATGACCAAATGATTGACATCTGTTCTTTCTCTGTCATTATAGCATATGTAGAAACGGGCGGTGATAACGAGGAAAACGTAAAGAAACAAGTGGTTGTTCATCTCACTCTTCAAGAATATAAGGTGAGTGGAATGATAAAACTCTGTGTTTCATTAGCATTTTTAGCAGGAGGGCAACTGGTTTTCACAGGTGGGCAAAACATTTTAAACTGAACTTCTTTATGGGAAAACCTTTCCTCTAGATTGTCAAACCAGGTGGACAAAATAATCCTCTGCCTGAATGCCTGGTGCCAGCCCTAATGAAACCCCAGTGAAACCCCAGTGAAACCCCAGTGAAACGATCTAAAACAAAAAAGCTTTTATAGAAGTTGCACTGTCTTAGCCTGCATGTATCCAGGTTTCCATAGCATAGAGTAACTGAAACAACCCTGAGGAGCTTCCTTCATTTTGCTGGGTTGTCCGTAGCTAACAGTCTACTGGTACCCATTTATATACACCTTGGTGAAGGAAGGTACTGTAGGAGAAAAATGTTTTACCCAAAGAACGAATCTGGACTGCTCAACCCTGTGTCTGTCCCACTACATGTAATCATTAGGCCATTACATCTCACACTTGCCTAGTTAACGGCTTTCACCCAGGCCTTCACGGTCAATTGATTTTGGTGAGGTATCTGAGATGAACGGCCCAGAACATCATCTTTGCCCCGGACCACGTAACCTAAAAACTTTTAACTCGGTGAAATATCAAAGCCTAGGAACTAGGCAAATCTCACACTAGTACCAGTGAGGTAAAAGGAATCTTTGACAAGCTACATAAAGAAAGTTGTTGCCAACAGGGACCTGCTGCTCCACAATGAAGTAAAATTTTTGGGATCATTTTTGTGTTTTTAAAGGTACTTGTTATTTTTCTTTTTCATCTATGCCTAGGAGATTATAAAAACGTTTAACATCACAGAGCCAATGATTCCGCCACGTCCCAGGATGAATCATATAAACAGTGCTGGTCCTAGTAATCGCAGAAACCAGAATGATGATGATGATGATGATGAGGAAGAGGATGACCATTAGCCCAGCGCAATCTACTGAGAGATTTGAGCGCCCTCATGATCGGCAACAAAAACAAAGAGGAAACTCGTGTTGTTTTGAGGAAATCTCTGTCTGTTTGTTTTTCTTTCTTGAGAGAGGAGAAAACCATGCCAGGAGCAAATGTGATAATCAGTTAATGTCAGGAAAGTCTGATGGATTGAAGTCAGAGAGGGAGCAGAGTCAGACCACTGTACATGTACATTCTGTCTCTACACTTTGAAAATATTACTTTCTTAATCTACCTTGGACTTTTAGTAGATTTCATTGTGTTTCAGTTTGTAGCTTATGAAGCATTAGGATTTCTCATGGGTAATGGTGTTTGGGAAATATCAGATGGATAATAATCATAGCAGATTAGAAGTGAAATTTAACTGAAAAATGAAAAGCTGTCGTTTTTCTACTAAGAACAAGCAAATACCCCCATGCCAGTATTACATTGCAAGAAAAACGGTTCTTTTAAACACCTATGTGAAGATTAGGGTGAAAGGAGAAAAAGAAATGCTTAATTAAGTCATTGTATTGTGGATCTTTGGTCATATACCTTCCTTTAAAAAAAAAAAATTCTTCAACGCTTTACTAGATTACAACAAAAAAGTTATATTCCTTGTATTTCCAATAAAATTTAGAATATATTTTGTCATAAATGAAGATTTAAAAGAATATTCCACCGGTAATTCCCAAGATATTTTAGTGTACAGGGTATTAAAGTTACAGTTCAAGTTTTGTTAAAAATAAAAGTTAAAATACACCAAATTACCAGTAGTAGTCTTTATCTGAAAGAGAAAAATATGGGAGAAGGACAGTGCGGGAATGCTCCTCGCTCAATACTCCACCCCCTCTTTTTTCCTCTCACCATTTTCTTGCTCCTCCCCAAGTGATCAAATAGCTGGAAGAGGCTAATCTAAGAATAAAAAGTAACTGAGGTTTAAATTTCTCTTGCACAAGAGACTGCATTGCTACTCAGGGCTGGAGACTACATTTTCACTACCTCCTGACTACAACTCTGTCGTTAGTGAAAACCAGCCCTTAACAACCAGTTCACTGTTACCTCTTGAAAATGGGATTGCCACCAAAAAGGTCATCAGACACTGCTGAAAAATGAACCTTTCTTTTATTTTGCCAATACAACAAGGTTTCCGTAAAACTTTCATTAACAAGTCAAATACAAACACAATACCAGTTCAGAATGAACTGGTAGGCATGCTTCTGCTTTCAAAAGAATGTTGAAGTGTTAATAGTACATGCATGTATGTAAAAGAACAGTTATTTATTAGAACAAAATAAATAAAACATACTATAGATGTTCCAATCCTTGTAACCTGCTGTCATATGTCTCTTATCGACAGCAACATATTGATTATGCATGTTGTTAGTTTTATTAGTTCCTTATTTGACAAGCTTTACTCTGTCTTTGTGGACTTTAAATTTTGGGTTTTTTGTAATCTTCTTTTCAAACAAAGCTCTTAGCTCATTATCAGTCAGATTTTTTTCATTGGCTCCTCTTGCTTGAAATTCTGCCAATATCTGCAAGAAAAATCGCAAACATTATCAATTTTAGAGTATCAGCTCATTTGCCAAGTTAATGCTCATTTATGAAAGTATAAAAACAGAGATAAAAACTTTTACCATTACTGACATGGAAGCACTGAGTAAAACATGAATCCCATTTACCTTTTTTCTCAATCTTTTTACCGGTAACTCTTGATCAGGAGCTTGCCTTAACACTGCCTTAATTGTGGACTTCCAGTTGAAGTGATCTGCTGCATAATAAATGTAACTCTATTACCTTAACTGAAGGTAAACAGTTAGCTTGTAAATTCGCCATCAGCTACCTGTCACAATCTTTTTTCTTGCATGTCGATACATGCATTTCAACTGCCTGTAGTACTGGAGATACATTTAATCTGAAAATTACTTTTTTTAAGCATTTATTTAATGGACATTTTAAACCTCATTATTTTAGTCCAGCAGATTATGTACAGTATTATATTTCAGGTTTTGATTTTGAGGTGAAAAGAAAAGAACACTGCAAGTACCTCACTCTTACTTAATAAACACATAAAATGTTAATTGTATACAGCATGTCTAACATCTCATGTGACCCTGCTCAGAGAAATAACTTTGTTTGAAATCATCCTCTGTGAGGTGATCATAGGTGTCCTAAGTTAAGTCATCATTGCAGGAATGAGATGTACTGGACTTAAAAACTGAGTTTCCTAGTGTACTGATGGAAAGCTGATGAAACTAACCATCAGCCGAGGAAATCATATATCAACCTAAAATGCATAGATGCACTCACTTTTCTCTGGGACTGTTTCTTCTAGTTCAGCTTTCGACACTTTGGACTGTGGAGATTCATCTGAGTTCATTCGTGTATAAAATAAGCAAAATTAATAACTTCAAACTATCAAATGCGAGCTTAATGACTCAGTGGTGGACCTGAAAAATATTTGACTCAAAGTCATTATGACAGAGTCAGGTATAAATCACATCCTATTTGCAATTACATAACTGTGCAACAGTCTGCAACACAGCTAGCTGTCAATAAATATACAGTTTCACTTTACCACAGTTGTCACAAAGTTTTGAAGTACAACAAGCGTTGCTGGTTACTTTTATTTTGCGAGCCCTGAATTTGTTATGAGATTGACAACCTTAATTGAGATTGATTGTTTGGGACATTTGTAAAATTAAAATGTCTTCAGTTGGCATATGCTCTGATCAGATAAACACATTTGACACATGTACAATGGGACCAAAACACTTTTTTTGGACAAGTTCAGGTCAATCTGTCTGGCCCTTCAGCTCGTGGTATTCTTTTCTATTAAGGATTCCAGCAGTAAGGAAGCACCAAACAGCAATGACAACACAATGGGTTTATATTTTCAGCTGGAATCTGCATTTAATAGCTCTGCATTAATTTTGTCTTCACTATAGATGTCAACTCTAGGAGAACTGTAAAATAATTACTCAGAGCTAAAAATACCTAAACCAGTAACTCTCACTTTGCCCTGCTCAGAGAAATAACTTTGTTTGAAATCATCCTCTGTGAGGTGATCATAGGTGTCCTAAGTTAAGTCATCATTGCAGGAGAAAGATGAGTTTAAATTATATATACAATACTGCTCAAAAGTAAGTTACCACCTCTCGTCTCGTTTCTCTCGAGACAAGTCTCGTTTCTCTCGAGAGGTTTCTCGTCTCTCGCGAGCAACGTCTCGTTTCTGTCGAGAATCACTGAAGCTTTAGTGTGGCATATATCACGCGTAAGAAACCAGTTACGTGCAACGATTGCTGCTCTGCAATTCGTTGTCGAATCGATGGGACCGTCCAACGTAAAATATGCATCGATCATTTGCTAGATTCATATCGAACAAAGGTAATATCGAACATCGAACGTACAAGACAGTGGTAACTTACTTTTGAGCGGTACTGTGTACACTGTAGTAAGAGCAAAAGACATAATATTTGTGTGAAGAAACCTGGATAGCCAACAATGATGCTACTCAAGAGAAGGATCCTAAGGATACTGAAAGTTTGCTCTCAAAATGTGCATCTTGAATCAACAGGAAAAACAAAAAAATTCCTTCATATCCTTCAATAATCAATCTGTAATTTAAAACATTTTGTTCGTTTGGGTTTCCTCAGTAACATGAAAGTATTTTAAATAACTTTATACACTGAGGAAGCTTCTCTTTATCTAGGCGCATAAATGAGGCGCATAATGCTGGGGGGTAACCACACAATGAACTAGCATCCTATTCTGGCTGGGATAGAAATACTCCTAGTCACTTGGTGCAACAAGAAACTGAGATAAACTCTGGTTGAAACAGACTTAACCTGTAAGAGAAGTTCATTATTTCGCCTGTTGGTTCAAGATTACAGAAAGAGAGAAATGTGGGTATCAAATCGTTCATCACTGTTTTAGCTCAGAACTGCTGGCTCGACAGCTACTGATATTTAGTATCACCCAACTAGTGGACTAATGCAAATCCTGCATTTTAATTGGCTACGCTACTAGATGACTATTAGTAATAGTCCTCCAGTAGCGAAATTGGTGCAATCGAGCGTGACGCTTTCNGGGCTACGGGTCTAATTGTTAAGTAGTCCTTGCTAAATATTAAATAAATGCAAAAAGATTTACAATGTACAATGTTAAGAGCTACTTGACACACATACCTCTCTCCTCTTCATCATCACTTTTTCTTCTTTTCTGTCGCTTTTTGTTTCTATTGTGACTTGCATCCATATTATCTGTATTTCCATTACTGTCCTTTTCACTTTTCTTTCCTTTTGACTTACATACACTCTCATGGATGTCAATGTCTTTTAATTTTTCTCCCTTTTTTTGTTTTTTGGAGTCTTTAGACTTTTTATTTTTCTTTCCTTTTGACTCTTCTTCATCATTAAGGATCTCAAGTTCATTATCTTTTTGTTCTTTCTTGGTTTTTTTGGAATCTTTATCAACTTCATCTACTTGACTTTCATTGTCTTTCTCTTGTTCAGGTTCATGTACACCATTGCTGTTAGGTTCACTTTCTTGTGGACTTTTCTATTATTGATAGTAAATAAATTACAATTAAACATCTCAGTAGACTTATAAAACTATTTTTATTATTAACAGTTATGTCAAATATTTTAAGCAAAAAAGAAGGTTCATTTCAAGAAGGATTACCACATTGGAACATTTTGTGCCTACACTGCATTGTCCTTCACTCAAACCTTGTCAAGTTGTCAAATATAAGACAAACTTGAGTATTATAGACACACATATATATAATACTTTGACACACAAAGTACACTGAAATGGAAGCATATAAAAGTAAGGAGATCATATCACATTTTACTAATTGCTTGATTAATATAAAAATTTAGCACCTTCTAACCTTTGTACTTTCTGAAAATATTTCCCACAGTTTGTCCAGAGTTGAACTGTCTCGTACATTGATACTGTTTTTACAGAAATTCTGCAAATCCAAACATAACGTAATATAAATAGTTAGCCATTCATGCCTGAAAAACAAAAAACTAAAACAAACTACTTGTTGAAATTAATCTCCTCCAGCATACACTGTTTAGTAATGGAAAATAAACAAACAAAAAACAGAGAACAGACAAGACATGGTTTTTATAGTTCTCATTTAATTTGTGCAAGTGGAAGCATTGTGTCATTTAGTAAATTTTCAAATGACATTTGGAGTTTACATTGTGGGAGATCAATACAGCATCAAGCACAATCTTACTTGAAATTTGGCTTTCTTTCTGGGAATATTGGAATATTCACTGATTCTCTCCAGAAGGACAGTTAGCCTAGGATCTGCTTTGTCTGATCTTGTTGCTTCTCTAACTTGCTGATGAAGAAAAAGAGAGTGACAATGTCAAAAATTACACCTTGACAGCTGATTGCCAAGGTCTGCATTCCAACAGTATTCACAACAGATCACACCCTTATGCTAAAAATATTATAGACTGTACAGTACATGCATTTGGCAATGTTCAGTGTAAAAGAAAAAGTGTGCCTGTCAAAGTTACAAAATTTAACAAGTCCCTTGTTCTTAATTGTACATTTTTTTTTATAACAAAAGAGACTGATAAAAGCCCTAACAACTTTTTTTTCATTATTAACGTTAAAGAACCTGGGGATACTCCCTATAACAGCCTATTTGGGGAGGCTCTGCCCAAAAAGGGGACCTTTTCCAACCTTCAGGTATATGAAAGGGTAGGGATTTCACAAGTTGAGGTACACTTTACATGTACATGTATATGTTTGAAAAGGTCAGGAAATAGAAATCAGAAGAACATTTCCCTGTTCAGACACAATAACTGGTTTGAAATCATCACCAATGAGGAGAATTCATAGGTGTCCTAAGTTAAGTCATCACTACAGGGATGCCACAGGAAACACTCTGGCTAGCTATTTGTGAAAGCGTACTAAGTCCAACTCTGAACAAAATCTAGGAATATCAAATTACAGAATCTGTTCCCCCTGGAATAAGTAACGCTAAGAGTCTGACTGGAGTTAAATGTTAAGAACCACTCACGACAAATTTCCCATTCATTCTGTGTAGAATTAGGATTAATACAACTGAAAATGTATGGGTTAATCTTTTAACAAATTGCCTTTTGAAGTCACAACCAGACACCCACATGAGAAACTGTACATGCGCTCAATTCCAAGGAAAACTTGAGATACCAGTGTGGTCTGAGAACACTCTACTTTGTGGGGCAAAGGGCGAAAAGAAGTTCTGCCAGTTGAGAGAGCTGAGTACATATCAAACATAAACATAAACATAAACTGCAATGCATCCAGGGCCTGAAAGCTTCCTTATATGTAGATCCTGTAAATGAATCCTCAATTAGATCACACAATTCACCGTCCTTGGGTAAAATTCAAAATTAAGATTTCTGATGATCACCTTCAGCCATTCCTGCTGTTTGTGCTCGCCTTTGTTCGATTTATCTTTTGGTTTATACAGTTTGCCTTGGTACTTTTCAGCCTCTGAAATGCACGAAGTGTGTCCGACATACTCGTCGCCGTGAAAATCCTTTCCACAATCGATACACGACAAAACATTACAGTTGCGACAGTCGTTCTGATAGTGCTTTTCAACCTGCGTTTTCCTTACGGTTTGACCGCATGCATTACAAATAAACGACACCATTTCCACAACAAATTCTGGAAATCCACGCTGTCCCTGAGACCACGTGGAGTTCCACTGCTCCTGCGCACTACACCGTTGCTTTTGCAGTACACAACGTATCCCTAGAATACTAGTGACGTCCGCTCATAATCTGCGGGCTCAGAACAATATCAAAGAAGAAGACTTTGTAGAACGGGTTGCCGTCGTTTTGTCATAAAACATTTACCATTGACTGAGCTATACTACTATGGAAAGTATGGGAAATTATCGAAAAAAGAGGTATCTTCAATTGGTGTAGTCTAAATTAAATTCCACCAGAAGAGGTTAGTTATGAAAGACATGCAGTGTTCGAGGATTCTCTTTGGAGGTTTCGCAAATCGTGAAAGAGAAGAAAAATTCCTTACTGGGTTCCTTTAACGCAATTTTTCGATGTCCAAATAAACTTTTGAAGATATTCCAATGGCTGTTGTACCTCGTGGAGTAATCTTTGGAATGCTCTTCTATCTAACATTTGCTGTTGCCGGGACGTTATGGATATCTATGAAATATCTGAACGAACGCGAATGTGACTGTGGCCAATATTTCGGGAGGACCAAGCTGTCTTCAAGTATTCATACCGCACATGAACACGACTTTCCACATTTAGAAGAGAGTAACAAAATATTTTCAGAGAAACGTAAAAGAATGGAGGAAAATACTGTCGAACCGACTGTAAAGGGTAAGCTTAGATTATCAATTAGACTACTTAATTGTCGTACTGAAATCATATGTATGGTGACGTGTCCATTCAGTTCTAAGCTAAATTTAACCTTGTTTGTTTAACGCCTCATGTCCCCCACAATGAATTTAGTTTCATTCTGTAGACTGAAAATACATTTCAAGTGTGATTAAGTTTAAATTGTGTGACTCATAAACTGAAAGTGTATGAATAAGTTTTATCCTGAAATAGATGTAAGCTTAAGTTTAAACATAATTATTAAGAAATTTATACAGTCAAGCTGATGTATACAACTCTCGTAAGTGGATGCCCCCTGGACGTGAGGTTGTCTGTGACTGAGGGTGGCCACTTAAAAGAATGGTTCTTGCAAGCTGCCACTAGAGGTGTAAGGGATAGATGGCCACTTATGGGTGCTTGTCTAGCTCACAATAAACATTGGGAATGCAGAAAAGCACAGCAGTGCCGCAATAAGTTTGATAACTGTTTATGGTTACTGTACTTAATGCCATGCCATAGAAAAAACAGGCTTAAAGAATACAGGAAAGCCTTTGTCATATTCGATGGTATTACACCCAGCCTTCCCATTGTGTGCTGTACGTACGTTGCATTGAGTGGGTTGGCCACTTTCTATGGCAAGGACAGAAGGTATAAAATACATGTAGTTATGGAACGCTTTCTCGTGACATACATGTACCATGGAATATTCCATGAGATACCAGCATTGCATTATAACTATTAGGTATACAGGAGGACATTTTCAGGTCCAATTCCTTTTGGGTGTCCACTTACAGGAACTTAATAACAAAGGAAAAGTCAAAATCATAAGCCCTCAAAGTTTCTGCAGCTACTTACGGGAATGTCTGCTTACAATGTAAATACAAAGTTTGCATGAGAGTTCAAACAGGATTTTGTGAAGGTGGTAGTAACTAGAGCTGTCTGGCCACTTATGAGAGTGTCCACTTAGAGAGCTTTGACTGTACACTTCAAAAGTGAAACAATTTAATGAGTCTACTTTGCTTTGCACTGCTTGAATGTTTAAAGGTCATAACTAATTTGTTTAACATTGTGTAGTTCCAGAGAATATCCATGCCTCCCTCACAAAAGGGATTTTTTTCAAGACCCCCCACCCCTCTGGAAATTCCAATTAAGCTTGTCACATTTCTTTAAATGCTTTGGTCCTAGAGAACCCCCCACCCCCAGGAAATTCCAATCCCTTCTCTGGGTAGTATAGATATTTTCTGGAACAGCACATTCATGAAAAAATTGGAACTTCTCACTAGAACCAGAACTAACATTAAAAAATGGTCACCTGTGGAAACTGTTCACAGTGCTCAGTTCTTAAAGGGTCAAAATCCTCATTTCAGAAAGAACTACTCAGGAAGACAAGCATTCTAAAGACATTAATTCTGAAAGAGCTAATCACGACGATCAACATTCTGAGGATGAGTGGGGGCCTCATCAACTTGGAATAGTTGTTCCTTACAGAGACAGATTTGAGGAGCTGCTTGAGTTTGCTCCCCACATGCACAGTTTTTTAAATGCTAAAAAAGTGCGACATAAAATATTTATTGTCAATCAAGTTGACAAGCATAGGTAAGTGTTTGAAGTAGTTTCTGATAACAAATATTTTTTCTAATCCTTGGGAGGTTTTGTTGCCAAATGGTTAGTGAGGTGGACTCTAGGTGTAGTAGTTAAATTTACTTGATTACCTTACTCTTGTCACTCGACTAAGCTTCTGACTTATTTTTTACAATGTTTGTTTACATCTGTTTTCTGACACCGTGTTATGTGGTTCAGTTGAGACAAGAAGAACAAATTATTGTATTATTATACATTGAACTCACTATCTCTTTTCTGATTGACCAAAAGCATACAGTGAATTTTCGAAATCAGCACCTGTGACTTCATCTCTGCAGATTATACAATCATGTCAAGGATGCTCAAGGTCACGGGTAATCATGTCAAGTTCGCACACTTTGTGTTGTTTGCCATTAATGAAGAAGCAAAACATGACTTCCATTTCCTTCATTCAATGTATAATAAAACAATTATTAGATTCAGTTTTTTGTGATATCCAGAATAATCAAGGTCTCTGTAAGGGTTATCAGACGAAGCCGAAGGCTGAGGCTGATAACCCCTACCTCGACCTTGATTATTCTGGATATCACAAAAACGTCATCCAATAATAATTGTTTAGAAACTCATAGAAAACTAAACAACTACTATTAATCGTGGAGCACATGGAGCAGGAAAGTACATTTCTCAGAGCATGTGATCAGGTCACTTGTAGAAATATGTGACAGCATTGCGTTACAGCTTTCACTCCAACTGCCCAAACAAAATGTATGGACTACAGTACAATAGGAGGAGGTACAAAATTCCACATTCACATTCTGACAATATTGACATCTCAGCCTCCCACAGTTCTTCCATTGTGATTCACTACTTTAAATGGAGGCCATTAATTAATCAAAACCTTTATGGAGTGTTGAGCATTGACAATTTCTCTTCTCTGTTCCAGGTTTAATAGAGCCTCTCTTTTAAATGTTGGATTCTTGGAGGCCAGAAACAATAATTGTGACTATATAGCAATGCATGATGTGGATCTTCTTCCACTCAACAAAGACTTGTATTATGGGTTCCCTAAAAAGGGACCCTTTCATGTGTCTGCACCTTTCCTGCATCCAAAATATCACTATCCCACATTTGTAGGTGGAATTCTGATTATGTCCGTGGCCCAGTTTGAAAAGGTAAGTCAAAGTAAATCCAGTTGTAGGGTGGTTTTTGGAGTCACTTTGAATCTATGCTCCACCTGATAATTTAAATAAAGTGTCATGCTACTTTGAGCTCCTTTCACCCTGATACCTGATAAAGCATGATGTATAGTATTATATAAATTTCCTTTCTTTTGCAAACCATAAATGGGTGTGACACATGACAAAAGTTGTGTGGACGAGTCTTGATTAAGTTTGGTTGGGCATCTCTGAATTTTAAGTGGTTTATTAGATTAATTGATTCAAACAAACAAACTAACTAACTAGCTAGCTAGTTCAGCAAACTAAAATATTGTGGTTTTCACTTGAGAAGAAAAAAAGTAATTCACATTTGCTTTGGTTTTGCTTTACCATGTTTAAATCTTGCACCACTTTCTCATCCAATCATCACTAAAACCAAAACCAATCATTGCCCACTTACACACATTTTACCTTGCTTCATATCGGCTTAACGTACATGAATTTGCTCCCTGTTTTGATAGGTTTATTACATAAGACTGCCTATGTCCTAAGTTTGTGATTGACCTGAGTGGTAACTCTGGTTTTGGTTTAATGACACTTGATTGGCACCTGTCATAATTTTCAAGTTTCATATCAGGTCTGTTACTGATATTGAAGATCATATTGATCTTTGTTCACTAGTTATTATAATCTATTGAACCAGTTAAGAATTAGGTGAGTGGGCTGGATAGGTTGATCCAAGCACCACCTGCAATACATGAATGTATAGTTTGTGTTCCTTATTCAGTCTACTTTATTTTTAGGTTAATGGACTCTCAAACATGTTTTGGGGCTGGGGACGAGAAGATGATGAGCTGTTTCAAAGAATGAAAGAAGCTGGAATGTCAGTAAGTAAACCTTAACAACAGCGTTTAAGAGTTTTAAGAATGGTATAATGGAACCTGGTTAATATGGACACCAAAGGATCACCCACAAGTGTCTATTAAGTATATAATCCAGGTGTCTGTATTAAGCGGGCTATCATAATAAACATGACAGACATGTTTTGTGAATACAAATAGTAAGGCATAATGATTTAAAGCATCCAGAATAATGTTTAACATCCGAACTGTAACTTGAGTTGAAACGAAAGATACCTTATGTTCATTCACTAGTCAAATGTCTTGCACCAAGGTTTACAAGCAAAGGTCAAAAGCTAAAAGAATCATGCTACTGTACTTAGTGTAAAAGCACGTTAATCCATGGAGAGCTTCAATTGTCTGGCAATCACCTGGTGTGTAACTGGCTTTTGAGGTCACCATTTACTTACCTTCCCTAGCTCTAAACACACTCTTAAGTTGCACTCTCTTAATATTTTTTTTAATCTAGATTTATCGACATAGCAAACAGCACATAACAACTGGTTATGACACTTTTAAGCATGAGCATGACCCTAAGAAGAGAAAGAGAGACTATGCAAGATTTTATGACCAGAAAAAGGTGAGCCGTTTATTGGCAACGTTAATTAGACTATTATATTACACTATTAATTAAACTGTATTTTTGTTTCCCTTAGCTTCTAAATGAACTTAGATGTGTAGTAGGTTAATGCCTTGATATTGTAAGTATTGGCAACTATGTTAAAATATGAGTGTCCAAAATAGACTTCCCAAATCCTGCATCCCGCCACTATTTTTCATTTCATCCCGCCATCCTGACAAATGAACATTTTCATCCCAATCCCCCCTGGTTAAACCCAAGTTGCTCTATTTCACCACTTATTTCAACTGACGGACAATTTTAAGGCTTATTTAGGCGGATTAAACAAATGGTTGTTCCTTGGTGTGTTTATAAGTGAAACACAAAAACTCCACTTACAGAGGATTGAACTGAGTAGTCACTCTTTTTCTGAACATGTTTTTTGGGTTAGGTTGCTATTTAATTTTAATGCTGAAAAGATACACACTTACGTTAATTCAGGTGACCGACAGGTTGCACCACAAGGAGGTGATGGGAATTCAATCTTTGTCGTTAGTCTCTGGCCCATGTTTGTATGAAATTTTTTTCTTTAGTAATCAAAGTTATCATCATCATCACCGTCATCATCAAGATGAAAGTAACCGTCAGCAACCAAGGTTATTATCAACTCGTGTCACACGACTGACGTGTTAACCACGTAACACCAGAAAATTAAGGCACAGTTTTTGGGGATCATTAATTAAGCCCGTTTATAACGAAAATAAATACCTTTTAATGTCTCTGAGGTTGCAGTGTGACTCATAACTTGAGTTAAATTGTGATCCCACCTTTCCCCTTCAGTTCCCTTATCCTGCCTACGAAACGGTGTATATTGCGGTCTTGCCATGCTACTTCTATCCTACATCCTGCCATTACAATTTTCTGCCATCCCTCATCCCGCCTTCATTTTTACTCTCATCCTGCATGCTGCTAAACCTGTGTTGGACCCTCAAATATGGACTTTTGGGGGTGAACACCATAACTGGTACCAAAGCATATGTTCAACCTCCACTATAGAAACTTTCTTTTTTGTTAATTTTACAGGCTAACCAAGTATCGTACATGTGTTACTTACTTGTCAACTTACATGTAGATACATGGTTATTCTATCTGAATTTTACTTAACACTGTGCGTAGATTTTACCTGGAAATTCTAGGTAAAATCTTATCATAGTGTAAAGTAAAATTTAGAAATATTTGTCAATAGTAAGTACTTTCCTTTTCCATACAGTAAGTATGAGCGACTTATCAGTTACATAGAGCTACCCACACCACCACCACCACCACCCCAGGCATGTAACAGTGACAGGGATTCAAAATGTACTTAACCCCATGTATATGTTTTGCATGAAATGCATTCTCAAAAAGATCTACTTTAAATAATCAAAATAGACTACATTGAAATTTCAAACGTAATGCCTTACGGAATACCAAGAATTTTAAGCCCAGAAGGTTACGACTAGCTTCTTTTTCTTTGCAGTATAAGAAACTACACAGCCTGGGCATGGTGCAATTAAATTCGATTTACAATTGCTTACTGCGGCTGCATACAAGTATACAATTGAGTATTTACCTCGACTTATTCTCGGTACATATATTCACCAAATGAATGTTCACTTCACCTTCGGAAATAATTGTTAATTAACTTGTGTATTCTTCTTGCAGAAATCATTCCAGAGGGATAGAGAAACTGGGTTAACAACATTGAAGTACAGCGTAGAAAAACGGACCAATGTTGTGATTAATGGTGCACCTTGCTCGATCATTAATGTGAAATTGGACTGCGATGTGGAGTTGACACCTTGGTGTGACAATCCTGGTTCATGACAGTAATGCTACTCAGCACGGAAAGCCGACCCTTGGATCATGCCCAGTCATTGCGCCACCCTTGGTACATCCTCAGCTGTGAAACCAACTCCACTTGTGTTTCTCTGGTGCATCATTTCCTAATGCTGTGGAATTTATTACGCTTTCTCCTTTGTCAACAAAACCATTTAGAATACAATTAAAGATTTACGCAGAAAATACTCCTGCATGCACCTGTCATGTCAACAAGAACAGTTAATTGGAACCAGATAAGGGAAAAAGAACAACTTGTCTTAACAGGACTGAAGGGCAGTTACGATGTTTAGAAACGAATCTCCTCAATATGTGCACTCCCAATCAGGGTACCAACTAAGCCATACTTCCAGACAGTATTTAAAAAAGCTTATTTCAAGCCATAATGTATTTAAATAATACAAATAAATAATACAAATAAAGCCTTTATTTATCTAGATTATAACGTAATAGTACTTATATAATAGTAGTCTCTTTCCGGTGAAAATGTACAGAAGGGGCTGAGAGGGTAAGGATTTTTGCCTCTGCGTAAAACGAGAGCAGAAAATCCCTCTGCATCCGCATGGTCTTTCTGTTGAAAATTTTTTCTTCTTATCCCCTGTCCACGTTTTGAATAAGAAAAGCGCCATCTTTACCATTTCTTTCCGCAACTTTTTTTCTGAGCAAGAAGAAGCCCATCATGCGAGAAGAAACCATACAATGCCTCAAGGCTTGTAAAAATGTTGTTATCAACCAAGCGCGAGGTCCCTATTGAGAGCCAAAGAACTTGACAGGGCTGACCGAGTGCAGTGAGATCCTTAAAAAGCATCAAAATATTCTCCCAGTATTGAGTTTTTAATGAATTTTAAAGCTATGAAAGTGAAAACAAAACAGACCTTTCGGTACTGTGCTGCCTTCACCAGGTCAGAGACGTCTTGCACAGTAACTTACATTATTATATCTCTCAGTTAGTACGCGCGCTGTGATTGGTCAATTTAGCGGGCCGTACTCTCCTGTACAGCCCGCTAAAATTTAAAGTTGGTTTTGTTGTCGAACTGTTCGTATTTAGCGCCAAGTGTTCTTAACTTTTATAGCAAGTGAAAGTTTAAAACTTTCCTATACTCTTAATTGTGTAATCAAGCGTGCTAACGACTTAAAAACAATTTCAAACTGACTCGTTTTGCTTTCGAGATGCGTCAGAAATTTGAAGCCTTTCCGAGTCCGCGTGAATAGAAATCGTTTCCGAACCCGTCAGGTACACAGTAGAGAGATAATAAATATCTTACTAACCTCGTCTTCTCGGTCCGTACCGTAAGTTACGGATCCTCGTTTTTACCCCTTCGATTTATGACCCGCGCGCTTCGCGCTTGGGCCATAAATCGAAGGGAAAGAAACTCGGTCCGTAACTTACAGTACGGACCTCGAACTCGGTTTGTAAGAGGTATTTATCTTTCAGTCGCATGGACTGGAAGAAGCTTGCAACTGAGGGTAATATGGGTAATCTTTTCAAATGCAAATGACATTAATCTGTTTTTAAAGCTAGTTCCAGTCCAATACCGAGAATACGAATATGACCTATTAAGGACGCGTGCTGGCATATGCATACGCGTTGAGTACAATGCGTGTGTTGTTACGGTGTTGTTCATCAGTTTCCAGCTGGAAAAAAGAACCCTCTTCTAAATCAGAATTTAACGCGAGTTGATTTAGTGCGTAGGACTGTGTCCAATCACAGAAATTATTATAGCCTTCCTTTGATCTTTGGGCTCCTGGTTATTTCGTTCCTTTCACAGTCTTCAGGCGTAAATATTAAGCTCATGGGACTAATAAACTGAGGAAAGTAATTGCTCTGTGCCAGTGCTTGCCTGCACTGTTGGACTACTATTGAAAATCAGATTATGGTATTTTATTCGAAATGAAATTATAATACTTGCGCCAAAACGTTTGGGGTTAACAAAAAATACGTTAGAAAAAAAATCAGTTCGGAATTTAACGGCAGGTATATGTTGCAGGTTGCAGGTTGAAACGACTTGTTTATTTGAGTTGAAGTCGAATAAACCCCAGTATAAAGACTAACCGCAAGCAACCTAAGCTAAGTTAGGCTAACCGGAGTGCTATTCAGGCTAACCGAAGTGCTAAGTAGACTCACTCGGACTTAAACGTCGATTTTTCAACCTGCAACACATAACTGCTCGGAATTTAACCTGGGAAGTGTTCTTTTCACTCAAGTAATATATATTTAGCCAAGCCTAAAAGCGGAGCTCCTGATTACAATAATTAACCATGAATGAAAAGAGGAATTTTTTCCCCTGGATCAGAAACTCGAAAAATGATGAATTGTTAGCATGTGATTGTACAGTGTGTGATTTCACTACTTTTTTCTGGTTACATTTTAACAAACCATACCAAATGAGTGTACCCAAGACTGTAGCGGAGCTCCTGGGAGCCCCATACCTTAGAAAATTTGGTAACCCATCGATCTCAAAAATCTGGGTTGTCACGTGACCGTCCGTCCGTCCGGTAAGCCCCATTCCTTGAAAAATAAGAGAGTAGCACCATTACCATAGGTACATCTTTGATATTGGACATCCATGTTCTGATTAATTGACATCTATCAAAACAAGGTATCCATTGACCAGTATCACGTTCCAAATCGCGGGCTCAGGTCAAGAGAGATCGCGCGTCTCTTTTTAAGTTGACCGCTGACCAGGTACTGGGTTTTTGATTGGATCGCGGGGGAGAGGGACGGAGAACATGCAAAGGCAAAATTTCGGCGGAAATTAAACCCTGACGCGTTGTTGACTTTTCTCCCGACATATTCCTTGCATAATCATCCCTGATATATTGCGTACGTAATTTCTGCAATCTTGGGTACACTCGTTTGGCATGGTTTGTTAAAATGTAACTACGAAGAAAAATTGTGAAATCACACACTCAGCAATCACATGCTCACAATTGATCATTTTTTGAGTTTCTGATCCAGGGGGAAAAAATCCTCTTTTCATTTATGGTTAATTATTGTAATTAGGAGCTCCGCTTTTAGGCCTGGCTAAATCTGTATATTAGAAATAATTACGTACGCAATATATCAGGGTTACCAAATTACTTAAGGCCATTCCGCTGAAATAGAACCTGCACTGAGATTTTTGTGAAACTTTAATTTACGTTTCCAACGATTGCTTTTTGTTCTACACTGAGAATTGGTCCATATTTATTTTATACAGAGAAATTTATTACTCGATTCAAAACAACAGAAAAAAAATGATAGGTCACCATACTCGTTTGCGAGAAAATGACGATTTACCTCTATGGCGAGGTCCAACTGTAAAGAAAAAGCCGCCATTTTTAATACGCGCGCGCTAATCACGCGTGAAATTATGCGCAGTAGGTATGCGCAATGCAATACCGAGGCTCCGCTTGGGCGCCCTCTGCGCGCAGGATGGATCCGCTATCAATGACCGAGTGACACTGGGTGCAACTACCTCAACTATCAAAATGGCGGTCATGAGTGTGATGAAATGAAAACCAGCGAAATATAATCGCCCTCTAAGTCTTCTCCGGTAAATATGTAACTTCCAAGCAGTCACCTGGTTTGGAAGTGGGACCAGAGGTAAGGGGAAAAGCAGTGAATCACGGTCGTCATAGGGAAATAGAATGAAAGAGTGAGATATTGAAATGTTTTGATAACTGTAGCTTTGAAGCCTGTAATATTACTTCTCTGGAAAATCACATTTTAATTTTGCATAGATGTAGTTTTGCATCCTCCCTATTGTTGTTTATAAACTTGTGCGGTGTGTATAACTACAACCAAAAACGGCTATTTTCAATGTTGGTATTGTGTAGGTTATGACTTTATGTAATTTGTACTCAAGTGGCATCATGTACACCTTGGTCCGTCATCTTAGATTCATTATCGTGAAAAAAATTCCATGCCTTTATCGAAAAATAAGCAGACACTAAGTTTGTTTTATTAGAACTCTTGAGTATCTGATTGGTTTTCCTACAATTTGGACTGCAAGCTCAAGATTTCTATCAGCTGATAACTGGCAAGCCATGAGGCGGCAAACACCAAGCTAACTAGCAAGGTCAAACTAGATGCAAGTCACCATATTGTTGAAGCAAACCCACTGACAGATCTATGAAACAAAATAAGTACTTTTCAGAAATTTCATTAAAACACAGGTTGAAACCACTTCCGAAAATTTAGCAACCAGTGGGACTATCTATCAATGGGTCTTCAATATTTCTTACATGACCACTGTGTAGCCAATCAGATTGTGCATCTACCTGATAGTAAGGACTCTACAGAGGACAACACTCAGAAGACAAGCTATAAATATCCCTCTTAACATGTTAAAGCTGGCCACTTAAATTAATACTGTCATTAAGTTTATTGTATCATTAGCTGTGTTTACAGCACTGTGAAGGAATTTGTGGATTGAAACAAAAATTGTTGTGGGTGACAGTTTCTTTTTTTCTTGCCTCAGTCATCCTGCAAGCTCAGGTGCTGGTATTACGTTAATCAAAACGTTATTTTTGCTGCTAGGTGTTGGTGAAGCTGAAAAAAGCAATCTGCAAACACTGTTGTGGAGAGAGGAAATCACAGCCTACAAGAGATTGGATTGAATATGAGGTAAGTTAGAGACATTAATAACTACAGTAGTTTCATCAAATAGGGAACGCTTCACATACTACCAACACATTTCTTACTTTTTTGAAATTCCTTGTATGTATACATGTGAAGAATCCTAGGGTGCCTCCTCAGATTTTGGCCTCTGGGCCAAAACCCTGCGGGGGCAATTGACATAAATATATGTTGCAGAGAGGACATTTTATTATTACTTTTGCAATCAGTTAAAAAGCTGAAAGAAAACAAAAGAATTGAAGACAGAATGTACATAATTTGGAAGAAAAATCTCCATTGGGAATTTCAGCTTGGCTGGTATCCCACAACCCTTTGTAAGCTGCAGCTGTTCTCACAAATGTCCTTTCCGCAACATTTTTACACCTCTGAGTTTTGTTTAATTTGGTCCAAGGAATTCTGTGAAGTTACCAGTATGGGAACTTCTGATTTATTGCAAGGGGTATTATATCAAAATTTTGATAGCCTATTATATGCATGCAAAAAATCAGGTTACCCTTTGTTGCAGTGGGGATAATTATGTTACAGAGACATAACATTCTGACTAAAAATAATGTACAGTTGTAAATCATAATTAATATATTATTTTCATACTGAAAAAACTCTCAATCCAGTAATAAGTTTTATTATTAATTTTATTATTAATAAGTTTTATTATTAATTTTATTATTATAAGTTTTATTATTATTAATTATTATTAATTGTTCGCATTTAAGCCCTATAAAACTTGTTTTATTCATGTTCTGGTTACTTACCGGTAAATGCTAAAGACTTTTTGAAACCAAGTATGTGTAGTGAGGTGGAATTGCATAATTTGTGGGAAATACCCATTGATTGATAGACTTTATTTACCATAATAATTCTATCAGCACAATTTAAAAGTATAATTATATCTAAGTCTGCCTAGCTATAGGCTTGATTTCCACCACTCTCTTGTGTCTGGTCTACATTCTTCCCCCAGAAGAGATGGCTGGACGCGTGAGTGGCAAAGCATGTCTGTGAAGTATACTAGTCTAATAATTATTCTTAAACTCATGTGGCGCTCCTGGTCGCCGGAAATGTCATCTNATTTTGCATTGTAAATTCGACCTGAGGGGACCCCGGATGTTACAAGAAGTTTGGTTGAACACAAACGAGCCACGAGAAATGGTCATGCCAACAATCACATTGCTGTACATCATCAACTGACAAACCACAACACTGACTGGGACTCTGCTCAGTGCTTAACCTACAGTACAAACTATTTTCAATGACTGACTCCGGAAAGCTGGTACACTAACCTAGAACAAACGTCACTTAACAGATGTCAACAACTACCGGCGCCTTACAAACAACTTATCCATGACGGAAATGAAATCGACAAACGGACTTCCAACAGACCGACTTAATTTGACTAACAATAGATGGATCAAAAACGGACCAATTTGACTAACAATAGACAGATCAAAACCCACCAATGACTGATGACAAACTTTGCACGAGTCTTTGAGCCAATACCATCATGGCTAAACTGACCAATCATGTTCAACGGACCAGACTTAACATCATCGACTGACAAAACTATTCACTTGACTCTGAAAATGACTTCCGCTCAGGTTGTCAAAACATCAGTCACCAACAACAGTTCTTTTCAGAACTGCCCTCACCAGGACGATCACACTATATGAACCACTGATACTCCTTGTAATTGTAACATAGTAAATGGTTCGATCCATTTACTATATTACAAGCTTTAGCAGCTACAAAAATTGGTGAAATTGTAACCACTCTAGTTTACCAGACTGATGAGTTTATAAACCTGCATTGAAGGTTCCATAGAAGGGTTAAGGATAGGGCCTGGTGTATGGAAGGATAGAGTTAGTGTCCTCAAGTGTAGTTCATGAGAGCAAGGCTTTTCTATCAATCACATTTTCCTTTTCCTTCCTACTTGAAGGTTGAAAAGTACAGTCAAGCAACAACAAAATCAGTTCAATGGTGATAAAGGCTGACAGGGAAATAATATTAATCGCATACTTTACAGAGCTGTACCTAGCCTATGGACTCCACTGTGAGGTGAGAAATGGCTTCTTTGTTTTGGCTTGGCTAGTCTTATTCTTATTTGAATCCACCTGTCTATGAGTGATGTTACTACATGTCAATGTACACTGTTCTTAAGCTCAGTAATGGTACACACTGCAATAAGTACAAAAAAGTAAAAGGATAACCAGTACCCATTATTTACTCAAAAGTAAACAATGGACTAGCATCCCATCCAGGGGGGAGTAGAAATACTGAACTAGTCGCTTCATACTACAGAAACTGGGATAAGATCCAGCCTGATGGGCCACTGGGCTTGTATACAGACTTAAACTTTTGCCTCGCATATTAAGCACTGCATTAACACTTTAGAAGAACTTATTATAATTGGTAGCAGGGCACTTTTATGACTGAAATCGAAACATGTTATATCCCATGAACAAGTTACTGTGCCTTTCAATAACACACAAACTCTGCTCAATCAAAGGTTTTGTGTTTTACCGCTGTCAATCATCTTA